GAAGTTACTGTTTTCACACAACATAAAGTGTTATGATCAACCACATTTCAAAAGGATGAAGAAACAGATTCTTTCTCTGAAGGATTTCTATAGTCACATTTAAATGACACTTCTCTGTTTGGACCCCACTTTAATATTGTCTTTAACTAACCAGTATCATTAAAATGTAAAATGCTGATCACCTTAATATGTTAGAGAACATCTTATAAATCTGAGGGGAACTGGAACAGGTTTAAGTCATGAATATACTTAAAATAACAGGTTACACACAAACATGTGATTTCTTTTCAGTGACCCCTGCTTTGGGAGCCCAGACGCATCTTTGAAGGTGGAAACAGAAGAGGAAGGACAGGGGTGACCCTAGAGTGTCAAGTTTGAGCTCTGTTGCAAATGTGCTCTTGACTTTGGGTGGATTGACCTCTCGTGACCTCGGTCCCTCTCTGCCCATGGGAAGGAAGCATTTCCTTATCTGTCTTATGTCTCACCTGCATCTCTAAAGAAATCATATACATGAAAATATTTATTTTTTTTCCTCTCTTTGCTATAGCCAATATCATTATGCTTATTATCAACTTTAAAAAATTTATCTTTATTGTTGAAAGTATTACAGATGTCCCTCCCCCCACCCTCGCCTGACCTGCTCCACATCATACCAGCTGCACCCCAGGCCTCATGAGCTATTTTCTATGACCATGGTTTACATGAATCTATAATAATAAAAGTGTAATATGCTAATTAGACCTGACGTCCTTCTGGATGACCTTCTGGGGCTGCCAGGAAAGCCAGGGTCCCGGGAGCTGGTGGCCTGAGGGAAGCCCAGGTCCTGGGTGTTAGAGGGACCGGCAGCCAGAGGAAGGAAGGCCTACTCTTGCACGAATTTCATGCATTGGGCCTCTAGTATGAATATAAGTTATTTGGTTTATCTCTTTCCCACACTCTGACCCTTTTTCCTCTGAGATTTGTCAGTCTGTTCCCGTGCTATGTGAAAATATTCTTAAATCTATAAAGAGAGTATAGTTATTTTTAAAAATATACTCTCCGGGTAGATATTGGTGTTCCCTCGTCAACATCTTATTTCCCAATTCCACTTCTAGAATTGTTCTTAAAATCTCTGGGATATAGTTTGAATAAAATATTCTGGAAATAGATTATATTTTTAATTAGAGATTGTTTAGCTTCCCTATTTACTGTGCAACATTAAAGAAAAGATTTCTTCCTAACTTAAAAAAAAAGTTTAATTTTAATACTGTCAAAAATCAAAGCATATTATTTCTGAAATATTTTTGAGTCCTGGTGATTTTAGCATTTTAGAGTTCTTTGTCAAAGTCTTGTTTAAGCATACTAAAATAAATTGTCTTTAAGCTCATATTTTTAACATCTTTTAAAAATATCCATTTTAAATGTTGTCAGTGGTAGCCCGGCCTGTGTTCCTTCTATTAAGGCAGATTCTTTCATGGTACTGATAGCAAGGACTGAGGACTTGAAAAGGAAAGCCTTCTGATTAATCTCCCAGGGCTGGAACCAAACAACGAGGCTTTGCCCGGAGTGACCAATGTGGTATCTTGGTCTGTACTCAGGGGCTCATGAAAATGTATTCAAAACGTACTCGTTACATCTCTTACCAGGGCAGGTTGGAAGCAGCTAAGACAAACACGAGATCTTCCGAACGAGCCAGCCCATCCATCTGCACCAGCAGCTCCGTCTTCATCCGAAGGCTTCCTTCATGCTCTCCCCTAGAGAGAGAAAAGAGGTGAGTTTCCCCAGGTTAGGGCCTTCGCTTCCATAACAAGGCAGCAAAGACTCAGGGGCTTTGGAACAGATTCTCTTTGACTGCTAACCTTTCCCTGCCTCATTCTCAGGAGCCACTCATACTGGAGTTAAAGGAAACAAGCCATTTGGTAGTATTTTCCCAAAGACAGTAATAGAGAGGATATAAGTGAAATAACGATGATAGTGAAAGGAAAGGTAAAGACTGGCAGCGAACTGGAAAATGGCAGAAGGGCAAACAGTGCCTTTGGTAGATTTGAATGCAGCCCAGCTCTGTCCACTTGTCATACTATTTACCCTTTTATAAAATGGCATAATTGAGAATAATCCTCTCCCTTTATATAGCAGGCATAAAATAACTTTCTCAGAAAGTATTTCTTTTAGTATAATTTATGGATTTAAACTGTCCAAAAAGAGAGATCAACTACTTGTCTGAATTTGTTTCACTCTCTTTTAATAAGAGGCAAGGTGATGACATGGGAGGCAGTCTTCTGTGCAAATTCATCCGCCAAGCTCCCATCACCACTGCCAAAGACCTTCCCACCAACAAAGAGCTCACCTCAGGATCTGAACATCCAGATTGGCTCTACTAGTAAATACTGACCATATCTGACAGCCTCTCCTTCCTCTTCAGTTGAATAGATGGACATAAAGGACAAAAAAATGCCTGTCTTGAACAACATGACATTCAACTTGTCATCTCTGCATGAATCTTGGGGCATCCCAAGCCAGGTATGTGGCTTTTAAGGATGTGACCCTTTCCTAGGACAGAAGACCATCTCACAATATAGTTACTTACATAGTCAGCATTTGCCTCTAATTATTATTCTTTTAACATAATAGGACCCAAGAAGTCTTCCAAGCACCTGCACTGATTTCCTGACTATTTGAAAATTCTAGTTTAGAAATTAAGTTCCAGACAAGGAAACAGACATTCTGTACAAAACCTGGAGCACATGCAAGGCAGTAGATGAAGAGTTTCCAGATTAGCTCGTCAACGCTGTGGGGACCCAGGGTGGAGTGAGTGCACAGGTCACTGGGGTGAGGCAGACCAGGCAGCCTGGGGCTTTGCAAAGGGAATGACCACTAGGGGGTCTGTTGGGTTCCCAGTCCCTACTGTGTGGTAGCCTGCTCCCGTCAGGTCCTGTATAGAGAGGCCCAGTGCCCAGGCCTGGGGCTGACAGCACCCACTATGCCATGGAATCATCCCCTTTCAATCAGTGCTAAGAGTCCCATGGACCTTAATGGGAAAATGGTTTTCCATGAGTAAAGTTTCATAAATTATAGTTTAGTTATATTTCCAACAAGCTAATTATTTGTTCTTTATTAATATTAGTTCTGCCTTAATTATAGACCATTAGAAGCCATCAATAAATGCAGTCATGTTGAGATTTCCCTGAGAACTGTTTCTTTTCAAGCCAAAGGAGCCAAATTTAGTAAAAAGTTTCAGAGAAAAATACCTCCCATCAAGGCAGAAAGGCGTTCTTAAAACACACATACACAGCTCATTATAGTCTGAGAAGTAAACTAGAAATGAACAGTCTTTCCTGCTGGGGACATTAGCAGACACTTAATCTTTAGAGATAACATATGTGACATGTTTAAATTCAGACATGCCGAGCCACATCCTGATGTCACAGAGGAACAGTGGCTTCCCCGGCCTTGCACATCTTGTCAAGGCCTGCCCCTCTTGGGACTTGGCTCTTTGCAGCCCCTCTGGCTCCAGAGGAGGTGGTCATGGGCAGCTATTTTAAGCCAGCAGGACTGTTATGTTAAGGCAGCCTGGAACTGTGGGACTGGGTGATCTTCAGGCCTGAAAACCACTCTGTGGGGGAGGGGGGAAGGGAGGATGACATTTCCTCCGGTTATAAAAACTACTTAAATCAGCTATTCAGTTAACAGGACCTAATTTAAAGACCTATCCGTGTGTCTGCAGAAAATTTGTGGGCTTATTAATAGGCTCATTCTGCTGGTAAATGTCGATGGGCTTCCGACCATCAAACACACTTACAAGAGGGGAGAAGTGATGACAAAAAAAAAAAAAAAAAAACCTGTCTGTTACCCGGGAGCCGTGCCTCTCTGACTCATCACCGACTCCAGCTCGTCCAGGAAGATGGTGGAGGGGGCATGGTAGCGAGCAAGTTCAAATAACACCTGGGTGGGAAAAAAGCAACCACATGTTCAAACCCATATATTTAAAGTTCTCAGATGCTCCCAAAGAGCAAAAGCTTAGAATGACTATACTATTAACCACCTATGCTGCGCTCTGTTCTTTCACCAACAACTTTATAATCATTGCAATCATTTCTCCCTAGAATACCCTATGGGGTTTGATGGTCCAATTATTTCCATTTGTCCCTTGATAAAATTAGATCCAGAGACATTAAGTGGTTATCTCAAGGTTATTAATCATAAAGAGAGATAAGGTAAAACTCAACTCCTGAGCTTTCAGTCCATTAGCCAATCCCTGAGAATCCCTGTCAATGACGTGTTTCATAGGGACACAAGAGCAGTGGAATATGTAAAAGCATTTGATGATCATCCCTAAACCTTTAGGGACAATGAGAAAGCTAGTCTCAGGAGGAAGAATTGCTGGGAAAGGCTAGAGTTCCACTTATGGGTGAAAAAGACAGGCATTTTGCCCCTCTCTGCTCCCCAAGTTACTCCACAGGGTTCCCATGCCACCTAACACTTGGTAGGCTCAGGTACTTGAAGGCAACTCCCAGTTGAATAAAATGTTCCATTCCAGAATAAAATGTTATAGACTGAGCAAGAACAGGAAAGCAAGCAGCAAAAGAACAGCCATATAAAAACAAAATAAAGAGCTCTAAAGGGAGATGTGATGGTGATGAAAGAGTATAAAAAATTAAACCTTTTTTTTTTTCCAAACAGGAAACCGATCTCTTGAGCACCATATACAATTCTTCACTGGTTGATCAGAGAAAGCAATAGAGATTTAGCAAAAGGTCCTAAAGGGCCAAAACAACAACAACAAAGGTTCTTTAATTGGAAGAGGAGATTTATTCTCCATGCCACTTAGCACTAGCAAAGCATCATAGAATGAATAATAAGGGAAGGACTCAAACAAAGCCAGGTTGTGGTTTTTATGAGGAGTAGCAGATCACCCCTTACATGTCTCCCTAGCACTGAATCGAAAATTGCTCACGTGTGTGGTATGTCCATGCTATGCACAAGTATTTTTCTTTACAGAATCCTTTTTTTTTTTTTTTTTTTTGACCATGACAATTGGCTCAACCTAATGAACTGAGAGAACGTCAATGCTGGGACACTCATCACAATGCCTTTGCAAATAATAGAGACCACCTTATTAGAAGCAGGTAACTTCTCCTTGTCACAATGGCAGCAATCTTCCCAATGAAAAATGGAGTATTAGAACTCTTTATTAGAACCACACATGTTCTTAAGGAGCTCCCTAGGGTGCAAAGAAACCAAGGGGCAAGATGAGACCAAACATCCAAGTGGAAGGAGAACCACATCTGGAGTCTCTGTTTCAATATAGACCATGCCACTGCTCTTTCCACTGCCAGAGAATGTACAGAATCCCCGGTAAGTGCTCTAAAAGCAGTAGGCTAAAATTTTCAAAAGTATGGGAGGAAGTTAAATCATAACATGGGAGGAGAGGACTGGGTGTTAAAAGATGTAAGCACCAACAGGTGTGTGCATTTGCTAAAGAGACCACTCAACTGCTCAATAGCATAAACTCCTAAGAGGCATAAACATTAGGAGGGGAGGGAGCAACATAACCCAAGGGTTCCCTATAAATAACTCTTAATTGGCACAGAAAGAGAAGCGAATAGTAGGAATGCTTTTTTGATTTAGGGGAAAGGTCCTAAAGGGCCATCTTCATCTGCAAGCTTCATAGTAAGGAATTTGACAACATGACCAAGATTCTGGTGAAGATCTTTTCAAGAGCTCAGAAAATAAAATAGTTTCTGAAAGGATAGAAGGTGAGATCCTTCAAGGTTAGCAGAGATAATCTGTTTTTTCTCTTGAATTATTTTTTTGAATATCCAAAATAAAAATGCATTTCACAGAGAAAAAGAGAAATAAATTCTTCAAAACTTATAAAAAGATGCTCAAATTCATTTAGAATGGAAGAAATGCATATTTGAGCACTAAAATATTACTTTCACTATCATAATGGCAAATATTTCAGAATTGTGTACTTCATAGTGTTGGGAAAGCAAACACACTCATCATTGATCGAAGTGTAAGCTGGTGCAACCCTGATTGCTCCAGGGAGTTGAGCAATCAGTGATCTTCATTCCCTCTGGCCCTGCAATTCTATTTTAAATAAATTGCTCTACATGACTACATATGCAAAGTCGTGTGTATGAAAGAACTATCCACTGTAGCTTTGTTCATAATAACAAGAGCCTGGAAACAACCTAAATGTCCAGCAAGAAAAGACTGGTTTAATATGTTTTGGGACACACCCATGCAATGAAATACCACTCAGAGATATAGAAGAATATGTTCTGCCTATAACAGTGTGTGACAACATCCAAAGTAAGAAAAAATCCTGCAAGGTATAGAAGGGTATAGACATATATGTTATAACAGTAGTTGCCTCTGGGTTTAGGGATCTATATACCCTTTTGTACATTTTTTTCCCAAAAAGATTAGTTACTTTTAAAATATATTGTAAAGTAAGATGAGAAGTCATTTTCTCATTCTGAGAAGACTAACAAAATAATACTAAAGCAGAAGAAAATTTTAGTTTAAAAAATGCTCACATAGAAGGAAGAGTTCTGGCTAAATGACTTTTCTGCCTATTCAACACTAAACAATAAAATCCATGTAGTTCTCATCTTTGTTGAGAATATTCATAAAATAGCTGAATTTACTCTTCTGTCTAAGTTAACTCCTGTCCAGGAAATAGAACATACTCTTCCTTTGAACACCTTGCAGTATCTGGTGCTCATAGTTCTAAATAGTACTTTTCAGGACAAGAGATAAAGCTAAACGAATTGTATGGACATTTTGTAAGAGTTTTGTTGTTCCTCAGCACAGAAAAATTGAACTTTTTTAAAAAAGTCTTCTGGTTGATGAGGATTCTAATTAATTGAATTTTAACTTCTTAAAATCCAGCTAACTAGAATCACACAGAACCCTAGATTAAGGACAAGCTAACCTCAAGCCCCATCTTTGGATATGGTAAATTAGATTCAAGATGAAGAACAAAGAAATAGAAGATGTCAATATATATTTCCATGTATTATAATCTTGAAGTGGTGATAGATAATTTATAAAAACATACACATTTAGACCAATTTGAAAACAATATAAAAGTAGTAAATAATAGGTTACTTTTGATAAATCAATCCTTTAAAAATATTCTATTATGCCTTCCAAATAAGCAGAATATTGTGAAAATAATTTATCCAAGAAAACATAATTTAAGCATACTATTTTAGAGTAATTTCTTATCAGAAAATATATAATATTTACGTTTATTTAGTAATAATTACTTATCAGTCATTCTACAAAGTGCAGTAGTTTAACAGGACTTCTGAGAGGGACCCACCTTACATTGAGGCATAAATCATGAACACGTATTCTCAAATGGTAAAATATTATAAAATATGCCATTGACTATGAATGAGATATTGTAAAGATAGAAGCAATCTCTTGAGGAAAGAAAAAACAAAACCTAAGCTATGAGCACTATGGAGGAATGTTCCTCAGAGCATTTGAATGAATAATTAAGTTTTACGTTTCTTGAGTCTTCCTTTGAGTACCTAGTATTAGGGACCAGGATACAGTAGTACCCTCTCAATAAATGTTAACTGGATAAACTGCACATGCTTAATAATAAATGCTTCTTGAATGAAGGAAAAACATAGGCCACTTCAGAGACAATTTTCTTTTTTAGTTTCCATTCCTAAGTTGCATGAGTCATAAAAGGGCTGTCGGTCAAATTCCCAAAGGAAGGGAGATCATATTTTGCTGATGGGGCATAATTAATAACTACATATGATAGTCAGTCCATCTCCTGGGTTTTGGATAATTAAGATCCCGAATAAATTCTAACATATAAATCACTTAAAAATAAGTAAGCTGTAACATCACTTTGTACCACTGTGTTTTGCTGGAACTTATTCTAAAAGAACAAAATCAAGAGTTCCTGTACCTATGAAAAAAAACTACTGGTTATCAGAAAGGGGTTGGGGGCAGGTGAAATAAGTGAAGGGGATTAAGAGGTACAAACTTCTAATTGTAAATAAGTCATGGGGATGTGCTAGACAGCATAGGGAATATAGTCAATAATATGGTAATAACTTTGTGTGGTGATAAATGGTAACTAGACTTGTTGTGGCAATCATTCATAATGTGTATAAATATTGAATTACTATAATGTGCACCTGAAACTGATAAGATATTGTATGTCAATTATACATTAGAGAAAAATAAAGAATTCCTACCCGAACAAGTTTTTCTGAATCTCCTCTCCATTTGCTGACAATGGTAGATGCAGAAATGTTAAAGAAGGTTGTTTTGCATTCCGTGGCCACAGCTTTGGCCAGCAAAGTCTTTCCTGTACCTAGAGACACAGGTGAAGAAAGTATGAGTGGCATTTGAGCTTCCTTTCTCTGCTTACAGTCAGAAGTCAGTGTCACAAGTGAGAGAGGAGAAAAAGAGAGAGAGAGAGAGAGAGAGAGAGAGAGAGAGAGAGAGAGAGAGAGAGAGAGAGAGAAGAGAACGGTTCCTCGGCTCTCGTTTATCCCATCCTGATATCCTGATGTGAGGACAGATGAGTCCATTCATCCTCTCATGCACACTTAATACCAAGATCAAACCAGAAATATTCGTTACCTGGAGGGCCGTAGAGCAGTAGTCCTTTCCAAGGGGAGAGAATGCCTGTAAACAGCTGTGGGTACTATGGGAACAAGGAAGAGTGGTGAGGTTTGGTTCCAGTATGTCAGTCACACCCTAGCAAAGACAAGCTGGTGAAGCTGGAGTGAGCACAGCCCAACTCTGAGATTCAGGTCTTCTGTTTAGTAAGGCTGGCTGCTTCTGTATACATCTTACATATCCCGACTTGACCTTCACAATTGATTGATAGAAAAGTATGGCTTAATTTATGTGGCTTTAAAGAGCAACTTTTTTTTTTAAGGAAAAGAAAGACATATGTAGGTACTCTCCTTCTCCATTACAATAGTTATTTCTTATATGCATAACATCATTCCCCACCCCACGTCACCTCTGCCTCGAGTTCTATATGAAGGCCTAGCAGATATGAACTTTAAGAGAAATATTAGAACCAACAAATAAAGGTGTTTGCGAATAAAGCACAAAACTGTAGTGAGGCCTGCTAGTGTAGCTCAGTGGTAGAGCATCGACCTATGAATCAGAAGGTTCAATACCTCACCAGGGCACATGCCCAATGTGGGGCATGCAAGAGGCAGCCGATTAATGATTTTCTTATCATTGGTTTTTCACTCTCTTTCTCCCTCTCCCTTCCTCTCTGAAATCAATAAAAATATTTTTTTAAAAACAACAACTGGTGAAGCCTGACATAGAAGTCAGGAACATCCAGTGCAGACAGCATTATGAGACATGGGCTCCAAATAGGACGTGCATGGACTTCAGTGAGTCTCTCCTGTAGGTCAAATTCAAGCAATCTAGAGGGTGGGTAGGGATGATAGAAAACAACCAGAAGCAAAGATAATAGTAAAATTATAACTAACTATTAGTTTCTTGTTGGTGCTAATGTCCAAATCTCTATGCTATTACATACAGAGCCTATGATACCATGGAGATAGCACACCCAGAAAGCCTCAATGAGATGTTCTAGCCTGTCCAGAAGTCTTGTTCTAGAGCCACTCAGAGAACATGGTGAGCACACTTTCACTCATTCTCAGGACCAGTATATAGCTTACCCATCTGTCTTAACACGGGGGTGGGGGGGAGAGAAGAGGGGACACAATCCAAATGTATTGATTTTATGTCATTAGAATAGAAGCATCCAAAAAATAGGGGCTGTGTGGGCTCAGTGGTAAAATAAATAGGTTATTGGAAAAATCTGTAAACCTGACTGCAGGAGATTACAGAAAATTATTTGCAGCTCCCTCCCCCAAGAGGCAAAATATATTTCTCTACCACTTGAACCTGGACTTTGCCTTGTGATTTTGGCCAATGGGACGTTAGGAAATATAAGAAGAGACTTGAAAACATAAGACTAGCTGATATGAGGAATCTAAGAAGAGACATGGGAAATGCTCATAAATTGGGATCTGCCCCTCTCTTGCTTCTGTCTGGGACTCTCTGCCACCATGTGAACAAGACCAGCTTGCCTGCTGGAGGCACATGGAGAGGCCTCAGCTGTCCCATTTATCCCAGATTTCTCAAGCTCTCCATCTTCTGCAACCACCCTGGCTGATGCCCCAGACATGTGAGTGAGGCCAACCAATATCACCTGAAAAAGAGATGAGCCAGCCCAGCTGAGCCCCTTCCAAACTGCATACCCACAGAACTGCAGAAAGATAAATGATTGTTGTTTCAAGGGCACTGCATTTGCAGAGTGCGTCTGTTATATAGTAAAAGTTGTCATACACTGACCTTTTCATCACCAAACATAGTCTTGTTTTTTATTTTTCTTCCTGTTCAGTGAGCCACTCTGTACAAAGATTTATCAGGAGCAAGCAATAAGCACAACAGGCTGGCTCTCTGGCCAGTGCCCTAGAGGAGGCTGTTTAGACTTTACAACCAGTCAAAGCAATGTGCCAGAGGATGTGTGTGTGTGTGTGTGTGTGTGTGTGTATGTTGGGAAATATAGATCTATGAAAACAAAATAAGTGGCCCTCTTCTACAGGAGATACTTGATATTTCTACTATGGTATTTTTTAGGGAGTCCAACTAATTTGAAACAATCTACAGGAACTGACAAGTTAGATATGCTTCAGTCTTAGATCTAATATTATCACACCTGCCTTGAAACCTCGTATAACATTTCAAACTGCCTAGGGTGACCTGGGCCTTGGTAGTCCAGCATTGCCAACGTAGAGGCAAAAAAGGCTAAGTTGTGGTCAGAAAACACCCTGGACTTCTGTCCCTGGTGGGTGTTATAACATACAGCTTGTCCAATGGATATGAATAAAAATACCCCCCAAGAGGCTTCCCATCCTTACCCTTATAGGATACACCACAGCTTCTTTGACTAACTGCTTGGCTGCATCGAGTCCAATAATGTCATCCCACTTTATGTTTGGATTATGGAGATAAATGTCCTGCAATGCACATTTGATCATTTTGTTAAAACTAATGTTTTCCTCCACAGCTGCAGTAAACATGGGAGCCACAGAATACTTGACTTACAATAGGACATAAAGAGCTGGTGATAAAAAGTTTATGTTAGATATATGTATATATGCTCACTGTAATTTTAGTTCACCAAAGGGATGCCATAAGAATATTCAGTGATTTTCCCTGAAGATGACATTGATTATATAATATGGGGCGGGGGGGGGGGGGGGGGGGGGGGAGCTCCTAACAATGGCCTATTCCTGTCTTCAGTTAATAGCAAACCAGGCTGATTGATGACCGTAATCAAAGAAGCTACAGAACATGCCTTCAAATTACATGCACTTTTACTGGGAAACATAGTTCCTAGCTGGTGCCTGTCCTCTCTCTTGCTCCTTGATCTTGCGGACACTTTCTTAATTTGTTGCATGAAAGAGATAATGCTCCTCTGAAACCAATTTCTCTTTTTCCCTAGTGATCACTTCCTACTTCCACCAAGAGCAATTGCTTCTACAGAATTCAGGGAAGCCAACAACCAGGCAAAAGTGAGTTTTCCCCTTTCATAGCAGAGCCCTGTAGCAGCCACCTAAGTTAATCAATTAAGGTAGCTTTTACTGATAACTCATTTACCGTTTCCAAATTCCAATTTCACAAGATGCCTCAGAACTGTCACTCAAAAGCCTTTCTCTGTAGGAGCTGTTTCGGGCAAACTGAATATCTAGAGTGTTACATTAAAAAAAAAGAAAAAAAGCCTTTTTACAAATTCATTCTGAGGATTACTCAACAATCTGGAAACTATTTTTATAGTTATTTAATTTTTAAATAAGTTATACATGCACAACCTCAAAAACACAAAAACCTATTTTTTAAATGCTGGTGAGATGTTATGCTCCTAATCCTGTCCTCCGTCCTCTCAGTTCCCTTCACCCACAGGTAAGGACTTTCATTAGAGAGACTATTCATACAAGTGTTTCTGGTCATGCAGAATATGCATGATCCATTCCTGGATGGGAACCCAAGATCTTGGGAGAACCTACCAGGTATTTAAAGCCTGGTCCTGCATATTCCCCAGCCACTCATAGATCTCGCCCTCTTCTAAAGTTGACATTGAGTTCCACATGGAGGTGTTTAATTTCCCAAAAGGAAGTTTTCCATACAGCAACCAAGTGTTATCAGTTAGAACTCAACAGGGCTACCTCATGAAGTGGTGACCTCCCCCTCTCTGTAAGCATTCAGAAGCTGATGACTGCTTCACATGGTACTGTAGAAAGGATTCCAGACAGAATCATTTCAGGACACTCCCACTCTACAACCCTATCATCACTAGTCATGTTATCCTTTTGCAAAAATAATAATGAGACTATTGATTTTTGTGATAATAAAAAATATTTTACTCTACTCTCTTATGCATCCCAATCCTATCTCACTAGTAATAACTTCAGAATTGGTCTCCCTATCTCCATTTCTTTGATATCATCCACTACACTGTCAATAGAACAAGCTATCTACAAAGCACATTTGAATACCCCATTCTCAATGGACACCTTTGAAAGACTTCCCATCTGCCATAGACAAGTCTTCCATCCTGGGCCCTGTTCCCTAGCCCCTTACTCAGGAGCCCTGGCCTCTCTCTCCAGCCCCATTTCCCAGCACTCCTTGCATCTTACATGGCTCACTGGAAACACTGCTCAATTGATACAATTTCACAGGTATATACCTTTGCCCAGAAAGTCCCCCACCATCCGTCTTATACTCTATTTCCTGGATACCTTCTTCCCTAACACTTTCCCCTCTCTTTGCACAAAACACTCCTCCTTTATGCTTTCAAAGTCCACCTTCCCCTGGGATGAGAAACTCTTGCATGCAAGGACTGTGTGATTGGGTCATCTTTGTATTTCCAGCCTCCGCACATGCCTGACACATAGTAGACATGCAGTGAACAACTGCTGAACTGAAAGAGAGAACTGCAGACCCTGAATTATTCAGTCATGGTGCAGCTTTTTGCACCATTTTAAACATTGTCTGAGATTCTAAGGGGGTAGGCAGCCTTGAAAGCTCAGTAATCTGGATAGTAAACTCTTTCCTACTAAGTTTGTATTTCGTGGAAATTTCCACTTGTGAAATCACCAGACTCCTGACATCTCTATTTCCAGGCTTTGACTGTTTAAACAAGATGCAGACATGCTCTTTCCTTCTCTAAGAGGCTTTCTTTCTTTAACTCTTGGCTCAGCCTAAAATCTTTCACCTGTCTGTCTCTTACTTTCTAAGTCTTTTTGGTTTTCTTGGCCTCTATAGTGAGATGGTGGGCTTTTTATATTGTAATTTTATGATTCTATAATTTATTTATCATGCATTATTGTGCCTCTAAACAATATGAGTGCCTTTGCAAGTGGGGGCACTTTATAAATAAATGATCATATTTATTGTTATTAATAAAAGAAGCAGCCCGCAATGCTCCAGGAGCCCCAATCCGCCTCTGTAAATTGTGAATTGAATATCTGATCTTACCCGGCTCACCACAGTTGCCAGTTCTCTCATCTCACTGTTCATGCCAATAAATGCACTTAGAGGTTTCAGCAGTCGTTCCTGATGATGGGAACAAAAACACCTCATGGTATAACATTGCTTGGTAATTCACAGTGACACAAATGATGGCGGATTACTATGATCTTCTACCCAATCTCAAGGTTTCTTTGGACTCGAAATTATGTCTCTAAAGTTCTTCTGGACTTTGGCAGTTTAGTACAAGATGAATGTCACATTTTAGCCACTTACCGCAGGGTCTGGGTTACATTCAAAGCTATTTGAGCCAAGTTCGTTGGTTGCTCCTTTGATAGCATCTGTGAGCAGCCCTCGGAAGTCAATGATTTGGCCCTGAAAGGGAGTAATGTTTTATTTACACCATTAAAACTTGAGGAAAGACTATCCTTAATAGCTAAGCATCATTAAACCAAGACACATTAATGTTCCTTGGTGTGTAGGCCCAACTTAAAGTGAAGCTTTAAAATAACCTGCACTAATAATGAACAAGGTAATTTCCTGAAGTGAGGGTACTCTAGAAAAAAAAAAAAACAAGTTGTAAATAAATTCTTCAGAATGAAGTTGGTTTAAGTGGAAGTTCACAAGCATTTTTCAGTTCCTGACACATACCATCTGCTTCCTTACATGTCTATTTCCCCATACTGTCTCCTCCTTTTGGAACATTACACACACAGGAAAGACTCGTTGGCACAAAAGTAATGAAAGTTCCTATTTACTATGGACTTTCTCAGTAGAGTACCTGGCACAAAACAGGCATGCAAGCTACCTTGCAAAAATTATTTACAATTTTTAATTTTTTTTTAATTTTTAAATATTTTTCAATTACAGTTTACATTCAATATTATTTTATATTAATTTAGGTGTATAACATAGTGGTTAGACAATCATATGCTTTACAAAGTGTCCCCCCCCCCATATTTTCAGTACCCACGTAGCATTATACATAGTTATTAAAATACTAGAGGCCAGCCGAAACAGGTTTGGCTTAGTGGTAGAGCGTCTGTCTGCAGACTGAAAGGTCCCAGGTTTGATTCCGGTCAAGGACATGTACATTGGTTGCAGGCACATCCCCAGTGGGGGGTTGCAGGAGGCAGCTGGTCAATGTTTCTCTCTCATCGACGTTTCTGGCTCTCTATCTCTCTCCCTTACTCTCTGTAAAAAATCAATAAAAATATATTTTAAAAAATAAAATAAATAAAATACTAGAGGCCAGGTGCACAAAATTCATGCACAGGTAGAGTCCCTAGGCTTGGCCAGCAATCAGGGCCAATCAGGACCTTTCAGGTGCCAACCAGGGCCTTCCTTTGTTCTGTGCTGCCCCCTTATGGTCAGCACACATCATAGCGAGCAATCGAACTCCTGGTCTCCAAAACTCCCAGTCTCCCAGTTGAAATCCCAAGGGGACACTTTGCATATTAGCCTTTTATATATTTAGATTATTGACTATTTTCCTATTCTATACTTTGACTATTTTGTAACTACCAATCTGTACTTTTGATTTTTTTCTATGTCTTATAACACTTCTGCTAGTCAGATGTGGTAGCCTAGTTTCATAGATGGAAATAAGGCCAGGGAAATTCCATGATCTTCCCAGTGCCATACAGCTAACAAGTGGCTTCAGGCCAAGATTCAAACCCAGATACCTGTCTCTCATACTCCCTCCAAATTCACCTTGTTTCCCCTCTAGGAAGAAGGAACAGTAAAGTTGTGTGCAAAAACAAATAATAACTATAAATATAAATAACTATATATGTAAATAACTATATATATATATAACTATAAATAACTATAAACTATAATTGTAGTTGGCATTTATTGAGTGTTTATCGTGTGCTGGGCACTGTACTAAGACCCTCCATTTATTATGACATTTAAAGTGACCCTATGATTATTTCCATTTTACCGCTGAAAGAAATGAGATTTATAAAGAGATTGAACAACTTGCCCAAGGTTACACAGCTAGGAAGGTCTGAGCCAGGGTTTGAACCTAGGCAGGCTGACTCCAAAGCCATTACCTTTAAGAGCAATATGCCTATTAAAGTTGCAAGGGAGACTGGGGAATCCTAAAGCTAAGGGCCCTACCATGGCAATGAGAGATGCATTTTGGAGATCAGCCTCCTGGCCATACACCCTCATTCAGCTTATAAACATCTGAAATTCAAGGGAGAAAATCATGTACATTTTATCCTGAGAACATTTCTGCTGTGAGAGAATTTACAGTAAGACTCTTCCAAAGCTTAAGTACTGGGTTAAATAGTTCCTTCCTTATGACCTGATCAGAAACACCCATTCATACGAACTTGAATGGAGATAAACTAATGTCACAAAACTGCTAGGCCCCAAAGTGGCTGAAAATACAATGAAAGTAGTGAAGGTGACCAGGGACGTGTTTCTCCATGGGAGATATAGATTCAAATTGTATCCCCAGCAATCACTCATGTATTTGAGCCCTGAAAGAAGTCAGGTCAGGTCAATGAGACAGCTCCCTTGATTTCCAAAGAGATGCCCCCCGCTTTCTCTCTAAACATGCACAACCCAGAGTTGGGTATGCTGAGAAGAGTTGACTGAAAGTAAGAACTTGATCAAAGAAAGAAAAGAAAGATGACACTTAAAGAAATACAACTTTAAGTGTGTTAATAAATACAGCTTTGGTGTTGATGCTACTTTTTCATTTCCAAGTGACATCTTTTACCTGCCTTTTGCCTATATCTACCCAATTTGAGTCTTTTCTGTTTGAGAAACTATTATTTACAAATAAGAACATGAGGTTCGTCATGAAAGAGATAGAATACTCATCAAGGACAAGACCAACTCTCTGTCAAGAGAGGTTTCATGGTTCACAGGAAATTACATTCTAGGTGAAGGCATACCTCCGAGAAGAAAGGTGACACCACTAATCAACAACCACTAAGAGGCAGAAAAAAATGAGTGGGAGGCCCCCATTTTTTGTGATTGTTAATCCTCATCCAAGGATATTTTTCCATTGATTTTTAGAGAGAATGGA